TTTCCCTGTAAGGACTGCTCTGTTGACATCCACCCCTTGGCGCTCATATGACCTTATGCAGTTGCGAGCGCCGTAAAACCTCTTCTAAAACAAAGAGGAGAACATGGCCTTGGGTCGAATCCCAGACCAGACGTTCTTGAACTCGGGTCGTTTCGTAGAGGTTTCAAGGTTCTCAACCCATTTGGTTCAATTCTATCGGAGACGAACGTTGAATTCGGAGGTCCAGTCTATAACTTAATAGAGTTGATAGGGGCGTTAAACCCCTACACTTACGAGTAGCACACTAGGTCACTGAGTAGGCTACTGACGTCAATCTGTGCAAAGAATGGGGCATTGAGTGCTCTCCCATCCTATGTCGCCATGCTGAGTGTATATTAAATTATGTGGTGTCGTGATGAAATCAGGCGCTCGTCAAAATAATGAAATCGAAAAAAAAAACCGACATTTTTTCAGCCTATTAGGCAATTTTATTGAATCTTTTTTTTTATTCTTTGTCTTAATGGCTCAACACTTTCATGTCAAAGTAAAAAAACATTTCTATTTGGCTTTTCTAAAAATAAAAAAACTTGATCAAAGAGACAGAATAATAATATGTAAATTTGCAGTTTCCACGGACACTCACGTTTTAGAAGTCACCAAGCTTTGGCAACCATTTTCTAGCTATAAAACCTCTGACACCAGGCAACCCCACCTCCGTCACTTGCAAATATCTCGACTTCTTTTCAAGATAGATGGGTATTTTTCATCAAGAGAAAAACTAATGAACAAACTTTTAGAGGATACCAATGCAATGTAACCCTTGTATGCCAAAAAATTGACCAGCGCCTGATTCCACCGCGCTGAGAGACGATCTGACACATAAAGAACAGAACTGTTCCGTAACCCACTGGCTTTTCCCTCACCACTGTGCCTCTGTTTGACTTTTGATCTTTGTTCTCAACTCTGAAAAAAACTATTCATCCGTGAAATTGATATATTTGATATTCAGCCCCCATTTAAACATGGCAGGCGGCGTCTGTTCAGTTCAATAGCCGGGTAAATAGAAGTGAAGGTCCGTGAAGATCGGTACTTTTCAAACCAAACGCATACAAAGTAACTTATCCCCTTGAAGGGTCTCCCCGCCCCCCGCCTCCCCCTTTTTTTCCAAACCCCACTCGATTTATTTGTGTGAACTCGAAGAATGTGAACTAGTGACGTCACAAAGGGCTGTGTATTGTGTGAGGTAACCAAGTGCATCTGGGTAATTCCACGACAGGGTTCATAGTGATTTCTCTTCTCACTGTTGCATAGTGAGTACACGTTTAAAGCCCATTTCAACACTGTTAGTGTTACACTGTGTTAGGTTGTTTAAGAGGCAGGACCTCCGAATATAACGTCCAATTCTGATATGATCAAGCCAGGTGAGATGAGAGTTGTCATCTTGGAAATCCGGAGATCTATCCCAGCTATCGTTGGGTTTTTTCTCCTATTGTTTTCTACACCTCCTGATCCTAGGGTAGATGGGAACCATCACCTAGTCGTCTGGTATAAGGACGAACAATTTCGGAGGTCACATGTGAGTTTCGCAAGATAACGATCACTTGGCCCTTTGAGCAGCTGTCCGAGTAAAATTCAAAATTAAGTCCTACAAATATTAGACTACATTCAAAAACGTATGTAGCTACCTGTCAGGCAAAGAATGACTCTACGGTCTATGTAGATAAAATAACCATGCACGTAAAACATGACCATGCACGTAAAACTAACAGCACTGAGAGATGACGATCTTACAGTCAGTTACTCCCTGAGCTCTAGCAGGGATGTGCATAAGTACATGTACTAGTTAGGCTCTTTGCCTTGCACTGGAAAAAAAAAGTGAGTTCCATTCCTAGACGGAGAGTGTATTTTATGGAGTACCTTCAAACTTTTGCTGAGATGTACCACACACCGCCTGGGTTTTCCATGGCTGACCTCTTAAATGATCTAAATTTTCTACTTCTATATTGTTGTTAAGGACCTTGCTAAATTTTTCCAATGAGGGATCAGCTCAAACAATGTTACATATCAGTAACAGTAAATCAATGCCTTAGCTTAGTAAAACCAAAAAGTAGTAGGAAGAGCAAACCACACCGGCGTCCCTTTTGACCATCCACTCTGCCGTAATTTTTAGAAAAGAAAAGAGAATCAGCACAATTTAAGTCATAAGTATCACATCTCATTTATTAGAAACATTTCTGCATGAACAACTTCACAGCGTTGTTGCAACAACAATAGGATCTGCATTGCACGTTTTGGTCATATAATATGGTCAAATAATAACACAAATGTTCTCATATAAACAGTCGAATTACAACCCAAACGTACTTGCATGTACACCCAAAAAAAACGTATAAAAACCACAATCAACCAACAACACAAATTCACTCACACTTAAAAGGCAAATAAAGTAACATAAACATAGTTCAATAAATACCATCATTGCGTTCCCTCATTCCACCCCAGAGTCTGAACAAAGCTCTGGTGAGTAAGCTCGTTACATTTTGTACCCATTACATTTTGTACCTTAACAAGTGATCACCGACAGGTTTTGAACCCAAGACAAACAAAATAGAATGATCATTCATCACACCTGCAGTGACATGCACACACAGACCAACATCAAATCTTGTGGAATATTCAACAACATAGACAAAATGGAATTCTACGTCAAACTTGAGGGTATATCAATCACCGATCATGGCCACCATGACGATGTGGAATGTAGTCCTTCACTAGACACTAGAGAAACAATTAGAGACTCAGAAAGTGTTGTCGTAACATCACAAATCACAGGTGCATTTAAATTTATCTTTAAAATTGCAGTATCATACACAGTCCTAATATCTCAACTATTTCCGCAAAATGTCTCATCTCCAAAAGTGAGAATATGATAGCAAATACATCTAACTAAGACCATAAGCCACTAAACTGGATAAGCTTTGAAATAAACCACAACCTGCATTATATAAACCAAAGAGCTGAAACTGCATAATTCTATTATAAAAATGTGAACCGAGTTCTGCTTGGATTAATACATCTTCTGAGGAGAATTCTGGCTGAGCAAAGAAGCTAGTTCGTTTCCATCACGTCCTCTATAAGGAGACTATCAAACATGAAGTGTTATTTCTAACCAAAAGCAGAACAAAGCATTTCTGTGATGGGCCACAAGGGAAGGAAGTTATTACAGTTACACTTCTTTTTACTATGTTCAAGCCACACAAAAAATGAACAGACTTGACTCTTTATCTCTGAGACGGGTAAACCCACTAAGCCAGGGCCCTTTTTTAAATCTAAAAGTGACATATACGCTACTAAATTGGTCACTAAATCAAAACAAGTGAAGCTATTTTGATGGTCCTTCATCTAATGAATGAACTCCTGGTAGAAGAGACCTGTTTTCAGCAATAGCCTAAAAGTAATTTGATGTCGAAGTCATCATAAAGGAATGAGCCCGAGCCGCTGCCAGTGGCTCACTGGTTCAGCTGTTCCAGCCGCGAACTGCTGGCAGCGGCTTGCCGGAGATAAGGAGTTAATGTACTTTTCACCGAGAGATACACTCACTCTCTCAGTGTCTACATAATCACAGAAACAGAATTAAAGAATAAATTAAACATTATGCATTTTGTGCATTGAAGATAGCTTTGTACAACAGGAACAAAGTCACAAACACAAACCAAATTAACAGCAGAGCAAATAACTCGAGAGACAATTCCCACACCTCTGCCTTCCCATCAAGACAAAACAACCATGAGGCCCAGCAGAACTGTGAGACAATAAGAAAAAGCAAGACAACAAAAGCACCACAACAGGCATATAAATAACAAACCACCACAACAACAACAACAAAACCAAGAACAGCAGCAACAGCAACAGCAACAGAACTAAAAACAACAACCACAACAGTGTCACAACATAAACATCACACATTGCAGCACAAGGACAATGGTCACAACAACATCAACAACAACAACAACAAAAATAACAACAATAACAACAACAACAACAAAAATAACAACAATAAAAACAACAACAACAAAAATAACAACAACAACAACACAAACCAAAGGAATCAAAGCACAACAACAAATGTCACAACAGCACCAACAACAATGATATTGCTATGGATGAGGACTAAATGCACAAGGCGACTATATCAATTAATAATTGAAACTGTGCAATCGAAAGGTATTCATCATGGTTTCAAAATATACCCATACAATCCTCTCACAGTAAGCTTATACAGATACACAGCTCCTTCATGGATGAGCAGTTCTATTCTTCAACCCCCAAATATATGAGTTTGCCATTGTTTTAGAAATCACGACAGTATACAATTGGATGCATGATACACAACCATCATATGAAATACTTTGTGCGTTCATGTGTGTGAGTACATGTGTGTGTGTGTCTGTGTATGTGTATCTGTTGATTCTTGTTTTTTCATGAGTCTGCATGTGGGTGTGTAAGTAGGTGTGTAAGTTTGCGTGCAAGCGTGCACGCGCACACCAATATGCCTTTATGAGTGCATGTCCAAACACACACTTTTCTGCCTTAAATCAACAAAGGAGTTTTAACGAGAGTAATGAACGTTTCTTGCCAATGGAAACTGTTGTTCCAAACCACACTTATCATTACCCTAGTACATTATCCCTGTTCTCACACATTGCCCTCTATTTAAAGAATGTGACTATCTGACTACCAGTATTGGTGTTTGAAAAATGTAGAGAAAGTCTTTCTTGACACACAGAGCCTCATGTTTTCTCCCGGCATACTTTCAGCTTGTACTTTGTTCTTCAGCCAAATTCAGCTTTACGCTGGTCCACTCAACACATATTCAGCATTCAGCATAAACAGCAGCTTCCAAGCACAAAGAACTTTCACTACACATACCAACTACTCAGAGCAAGACTCCATCATACGTCACATTTTAAAATGGCATTTAGCGGAGTCATACATTAAGCAGTCGATACATTTTTCCTTTC